CCCCCCGCGCGCCCCGGGGCCCGGGAAGGGGGGGCGGGGCCCCTCCCCCCCCGCTCCGAGCGGCCCCGAACGGGCCCAAAGCTGAGGGGGGCGGGGGGGGGAGGGGGCGCGGGGTGGGGCCTTCGGCCTCGGCCGCCTCCTCCTCCTCCTCCTCTTCCCGCTGCTGCCGCGGCTCTTCGTCCCCTGCCTCATCTTCCTCCTCCTGCTCTTCCTCCTCTGCCTTCTGAGCCTACTCTCCCTCATCCTCCTCTTCCTCCTGCTCTTCCTCCTCTGCTTCCTCTTCCTCCTGCTCTTCGTCCCCTGCCTCATCTTCCTCTTCCTGCTCTTCCTCCTCTGCCTTCTGAGCCTCCTCTCCCTCATCCTCCTCTTCCTCCTGCTCTTCCTCCTCTGCTTCCTCTTCCTCCTGCTCTTCGTCCCCTGCCTCATCTTCCTCTTCCTGCTCTTCCTCCTCTGCCTTCTGAGCCTCCTCTCCCTCATCCTCCTCTTCCTCTTGCTCTTCCTCCTCTGCCTCCTCCTCCTCTTCCTCCTGCTGCTCTTCCTCCCTTTCCTCCTCCTCCTCCTCCTCCTGCTCCCGCTCTTCCTCAGGGGCCGCAGCTGCCCCCGGGCTGCCTCTGTGCCTTCATCTTCCTCTCCCTGCTCATCCTCCTCTTCCTCCCGCTGCAGGTCCCTGCTTCTGAGTGTGGGGCCTTCCTCCTCCTCCTCATCTTCCTCCTCCTTCTCTTCCTCCTCTTCTTCCTCCTCCCCCTCTTCTTCTTCTTCCTCCTCCTCCTCCTCCTCCTCCTCCTCCTCCTCCTGCTCTCCTCTAGGGTTTGGGAAGGAGCTGTCACTGGGATGGGGCTGCGTGGCCTTCCTCCATCTCCTCTTCCTCCTCCTCCTCCTCCTCCTCTTCTTCCTCCTCCTCCTCCTCTTGTGTTGTTTTTCCTCTTCTTCCTCCTCCTCATCCTCAGGGGTTCAGTTCTGGAGCTGCCCCTGGCCTGTCCCCCTCTTCTTCTTCTTTCTTCCTCCTCTTTCTCCTCTTCCTCTTCTTCCTCCTCTTCCTCCTCTTTTTCTTCCCTCTCTCTTCATCCCTTTCCTTCTCTTCCTTCCTCCTCTTCCTCGTCTTCCTCCTCTTTCTCTTTTTCCTTCTGTTCCTCCTCTTCCTGCTCTTCCTTGTTTTCCTCTTCTTCCTCCTCTTCCTCTTCCTCTTCTTCCTCCTCCTCCTTTCTTCTCCCTCTGTCTTCATCCTCTTCTTTTTCCTCCTCTTCCTCTTCTTCTTCCCTCTCTCTTCCTCCTCCTCCTCCTCTTCTTCCTCTTTCTCCTCTTCCTCTTCTTCCCTTTCTCTTCCTCCTCCTCCTCCTCCTCTTCCTCCTCCTCCTCCTTCTCTTTCTCCTCTTCCTCTTCTTCCTCCCTTTCTCTTCCTTTTCTTCCTCCTCCTCCTCTTCCTCTCTCTGCTCCCATCTCCCCTCTCCGGCCGGGTCTGGTTTGGGATTTTGGGATCCTGCGGAATTCCAGGATCCCCCTCCAGCCCCCCCCGTCATTCCCAAATCCTGGAATTCCCAAATCCCAGGATTCCCGGGATCCTGGTTCCCAGGCTTCAGCCCCACATCCCGGAATTCCGGGATCCTGGCCATTCCCAGCTCCAGCCCCCCAGAATTCCCAAATCCCAGGATTCCCGGGATCCTGGTTCCCAGGCTTCAGCCTCACATCCCGGAATTCCGGGATCCCGGCCGTTCCCGGCTCCAGCCCCCTCATTATTCCCAAATCCTGGAATTCCGGGATCCCAGGATTCCCATTCTCCAGCCCCTCATTATTCCCAAATCCTGGAACTCCGGGATCCCGGCCGTTCCTGGCTCCAGCCCCCCTCAGAATTCCCAAATCCCGGAATTCCGGGGTACCGGCCGTTCCCGGCTCCACCTCCCCCGTCATTCCCAAATCCCGGAATTCCGGGATCCCGGCTCCAGCCCCCCTCAGAATTCCCAAATCCCGGAATTCCGGGATCCCGGCTCCAGCCCCCCTCAGAATTCCCAAATCCCGGAATTCCGGGATCCCGGCCGTTCCCGGCTCTCCCAATAAAGTCGGCTCTCGGCCCGGCCGCTCTCCCGTGTGTGTCCCGGGAATCCCGGGGGGAAACTGAGGCACGGTGGGAGGGGGAGGGGCGCCGGCGCTCGGGAATGCCGGGGGGGGAGGGGATGGGACGGATCTGGGGGCCGGAATTGAGTCCTGGAGTATCCTCGGAGTAAGAGTTGAGGAGTGGAGGCTGAGCCGGGAGGATTCCCAGAGTGTTCCTGGAGTATCCCTGGAGTATCCCAGGTGTATCCCAGGAGTATTCCCAGAGTATCCCCGGAGTATTCCCAGAGTATCCCTGGAGTGAGTATCCCCTGAGTATCCCCAGAGTATCGAGTATCCCCGGAGTATTCCCAGAGTATCCCTGGAGTGTCCCTGGCGTGTCCCTGGAGTATTCCCAGAGTATTCCCAGAGTATCCCTGGAGTGTCCCTGGCGTGTCCCTGGAGTATTCCCAGAGTATTCCCAGAGTATCCCTGGCGTGTCCCTGGAGTATTCCCAGAGTATTCCCAGAGTATCCCCGATGTATCCCCGGGGTATTCCCAGAGTATCCCTGGAGTGTCCCTGGAGTATCCCTGGAGTATTCCCAGAGTATCCCTGGAGTATTCCCAGATTATCCCTGGAGCATTCCCAGTGTATCCTGGGTGTATTCCCAGAGTATCCCCTGAGTATTCCTGGAGTATCCCCTGAGTATCCCCAGAGTATCCACATAGTATTCCTGGAGTATTCCCGTAGTATCACCTGAGTGTTCCCAGAGCATCCCCGGAGTATTCCCAGAGTATCCCCTGAGTATTCCTGGAGTATCCCCTGAGTATCCCCAGAGTATCCCCTGAGTGTTCCCAGAGTATCCCAGGAGTATTCCAGGTGTATCCTGGGTGTATTCCCAGAGTATTCCTGGAGTGACCCGGGGATGTTCCCAGAGTATCCCCGGAGTATCCCCAGAGTATCCCTGGAGTATTCCTGTAGTATCACCTGAGTGTTCCCAGAGTATCCCTGGAGTGTCCCAGGAGTATCCCCTGAGTGTTCCCAGAGTATCCCTGGAGTATTCCCATAGTATCAGCTGAGTGTTCCCAGAGTATCCCTGGAGTGTCCCAGGAGTATCCCCTGAGTATTCCAGGAGTATCCCTGGAGTTTTCCAGGAGTATCCCCAGAGTGCTCCAGAGTGGGATTTGGAACCCCTGAGTGGGATTTAGGGGCCAGAATTCTGTCTGGGAGTATCCTGTGAGTATCCTGTGTGTATTCCCAGAGGATCCCCAGAGTATTCAGGGAGTATTCCTGGAGTATTCCCAGAGCATCCCGGGAGTATCACCCGAGTGTTCCCGGAGTATCCCCTGAGTATTCCCGGAGTATCCCCCGAGTATTCCTGGAGTGTCCTGGGGGTATTCCTGGGGTATCCCCGGAGTATCCACATGGTATCCCTGGAGTATCCCCTGAGTATCCCCTGAGTATCCCCTGAGTGTTCCCAGCGTACCCCTGTAGTATCCCCGGAGTATCCCCGGAGTATCCCCGGGGTATTCCCAGAGTATCTCAGGGGTGTCCCCGGAGTGTCCCAGGAGTACCCCTGGAGTATCCCTGTAGTATTCCCAGAGCATCCCAGGAGTATTCCTGGTGTGACCCTGGAGTATTCCCAGAGTGCCCCTCCTGTGTTCCTGGAGTATCCCCGGAGTATCCCCGGAGTATCCCCGGAGTATCCCCGGAGTATCCCCGGAGTACGGGGCTGGAGAGTGGGATTTGGAACCCCTGAGTGGGATTTAGGGGCCGGAATTCTGTCCCAGAGTATCCGGGGAGTATCTTGTGAGTATCCTCTGAGTATTCCCGGAGAGTCCTCAGTGTATTCTAGGAGTATCACGGGAGTGCTCCCTGAGTGTTCCTGGAGTATTCCCGGAGTATCTCAGGAGTGTCCCCAGACTGTCCCTGGAGTATCCCCTGAGTATTCCCATGGTATCCCCGGAGTACCCCTGGAGTATCCCCGGAGTACCCCTGGCGTATCCCCTGAGTATTCCCATGGTATCCCCTGAGTATTCCCATTGTATCCCCGGAGTACCCCTGGAGTATCCCCTGAGTATTCCCGGAGTATCCCCTGAGTATTCCCATGGTATCCCTGGCGTATCCCCTGAGTATTCCCAGAGTATCCCCTGAGTATTCCCATGGTACCCCTGGAGTATCCCCTGAGTATTCCCATGGTATCCCCGGAGTACCCCTGGAGTATCCCCGGAGTATTCCCGGAGCACCCCAGGAGTATTCCTGGTGTGTCCCTGGAGTATTCCCAGAGCATCTCCCGTGCGTTCCCGGAATATCTCCTGAGTATTCCTGGGAGGATTCCTGGAGTATTCCCGGAGTATCCCTTGAGTATCACCTGAGTGCTCTCCACTATTCCCAGAGTGTTCTCAGCGTATCCCTGGAGTATCCCTGAAGTATCCCCTGGGCATTGTGGGAGTATCCCCTGAGTATCCCTGGAGTATCCCCTGGGCATCATGGGAGTATCCCCTGAGTATCCCCGGAGCATCCCTGGAGTATCCCCTGGGCATCGTGGGAGTATCCCCTGAGTATCCCCGGAGTATCCCCTGGGCATCATGGGAGTATCCCCTGAGTATCCCTGGAGTATCCCCGGAGTATCCCCTGGGCATCATGGGAGTATCCCCTGAGTATCCCCGGAGTATCCCTGGCGTATCCCCTGGGCATCGTGGGAGTATCCCCTGAGTATCCCCGGAGTATCCCCGGAGTATCCCCTGGGCATCATGGGAGTATCCCCTGAGTATCCCCGGAGTATCCCTGGCGTATCCCCTGGGCATCGTGGGAGTATCCCCTGAGTATCCCCGGAGTATCCCTGGAGTATCCCCTGGG